TGATCGGTCTGGTTCTAGAGGCGGTCGGTCAGGCCAGTCTATAGGACGTGGCTCCTATCCACGAGCTCATCAGTCTAGTGCTATTGATACACGTGATTCTAATTCTGCTTCTGTTGGCCAAGCTTCTGATGATCTCTCTGGCATGACTACTCATGAGCTTGAGGATGTTCTACGTCAATTGTTGGACCGCCGGTCTTCTACTGCTCTCAGTACATTTTCCTCGTCATTTGTCCGCTCAGGTAACTTAGCCTCTTCTCCTTGTGTTTTCATGTCTCATAGTCTTTGCCTTGGATTATTGATTCTGGTGCCTCAGATCATATGTCTGGTTCCTCTGATCGTTTCTCTGCCTATAAGCCCTCTTCAGGTCAGGACAAAGTTAGGATTGCAGATGGTACTGTTTCTTCTATTTCTAGGAAAAGTTTAGTCCATGTCACTCCTACTTTACCTCTCTTCTGTTCTCCATGTTCCCAATTTTTCTGTTAACCTACTATTCTTGAGTCGTATTACAAAGGATTTGAATTGTAGTGTGACATTTTTTCCTGATCATTGTCTTTTTCAAGACCTTGCCACGAGCAGGACGATTGGCAGTGGTAATGCAGAAAATGGTCTCTACTTCCTGAATCAATCGAACAAGCTTGCTCATTTTTCCACCATGCGTCCTACTACCACCGATGATATATGACTGTGGCATCGGCGTCTTAGGCATCCTTCTTTTTATTTACTTAAACATTTATTTCTATCTGGTTTTTCAAACAATAATGTGTCTGAATTTCTTTGTGAGTCTTGTCAGCTTGGCAAAAACATAGAGCTTCTTTTGCTCCTAGTTTTAATAAAAGTTTAATTCCTTTCTCATTAATACATTTTGATGTTTGGGATCCATCTCGTGTTGTGTCTGTGAAAGGTCATCGCTGGTTTGTTACATTTATTGATGATTTTTCTCGTACTACTTGGGTGTATCTCATGAAAGACAAAAGTGAGGTTTTCTCTGTGTTCCGCAATTTTCATAAGATGATTTGTACTCAGTTTGGGGCCACTGTCAAAATATTCCATTCTGATAATGGGGTTGAATACATAGATTCTGGGTTAGGACAATATTTTTCTACTCATGGCATTATCCATCAGACCTCTTGCACCAATACCCCTCAACAAAATGGGGTGGCAGAACGCAAGAATCGCCATCTTCTTGACATGGCTCGGTGCGTGTTTTTCTATGAGTGCGCCTCGGTCCTATTGGGGCGACGTTGTTCTCACTGTTGCCCATCTTATTAATCGTTTTCCTACTCAGGTCTTACAAAAACAGGCTCCTCTTCACGTCCTCCTAGGTTCTCAGTCCTTGTTTTCTATTCCTCCAAAAATATTTGGTTGTGTCTGTTTTGTCCGTAATCACTCTTCTACTCGTGGTGAGTTGGACCCTCACTCCTTCAAGTGTGTTTTCCTAGGGTACTCTCCTACTCAAAAAGGGTACAAGTGTTATCACCCTCCTTCTCGTAAGTGGTTTGTGTCCATGGATGTCACATTCTTTGAGTCCCAGTCTTATTTCTTGTCCTCTCCAGTGTCACAGTCCTCCCTTCAGGGGGAGCCTTGGTATGAAGTGATTCCTGTGATTCCTATGGTGGAACCAGTTGTTCTTGCACCATCATCTCATACTGGGACTGCAGAACCCAATGTCACCCAGGATAGGGAAAGGCAAGTTTATGTCAGGGACAAAGGCAGACAGAAAGTTAACTGGATACAAGAGACCACTTCTGCTCCTCCACTGTCATCTCCTGCTTCTGATGAGAGTCCAGGTACCTTTGAATCTCTGGAGTCCATTGATCTTGATGTTCCGATTGCTAAGAGAAAGGGTGTGCAGTCTTGTACTCAACATCCTATCTCAAATTTTGTCCTACTCTCATTTGTCGTCCTCATATAAAGCGTTTGTGTCCAATATTTTCTCTGTTAGTATTCCTAACCATTTTCAGGATGCTCTTGCTACCTCTGAGTGAAAACTTGCCATGATTGAAGAAATGAAAACACTTAGAAAGAATGGTACTTGGGAATTGACTGAGTTACCTAAGGGCAAACGACCTGAGGGATGCAAATGAGTGTATACTGTGAAACACAAAGCGGATGGTTCTATTGAGCGTTACAAGGCTAGACTTATGACAAAAGGGTTCACTCAGACGTATGGCGTCGACTATCAGGAGACCTTTGCACCAGTGGCTAAAATGAATTCAGTCAGAGTGCTTCTCTCTTTAGCAGCTAATCTAGATTGGCCACTTCATCAGTTTGATGTAAAGAATGTCTTTCTTCATAGTGACCTCGAAGAAGAGGTATATATGGACATTCCTCCTGGTTTTGAGGATCATCAGACATAAGGCAAAGTATGTAGGCTTCGGAAGTCATTATATGGTCTCAAGCAATCTCCGAGAGCTTGGTTTGAGAGATTCACTCAGGCTATGCTTAAATATGGCTTCAAACAGAGTCAAGCAGATCACACTTTGTTTGTGAAACATTTCTCACTTGGTAAGACTACAGCACTCATTGTTTATGTAGATGACATAGTTCTTACAGGTGATGATAGTAAGAAAATTCCTCTGTTGAAGAAATATTTAGCCCGTGAGTTTGAGATCAAAAACTTGGGGAGCTTGAAATATTTTCTGGGAATTGAAGTTGCTCGCTCCAAGGATGGGATATTTATCTCACAGAGGAAGTATGTGCTTGATTTGTTGAAGGAAACTGGGATGCTTGGCTGCAAGGCCTGTGACACTCCACTAGAATCCAATCAAAAACTGGGGGCTGATGAAGGAGGAGCAACTGTTGTCAAGGGGAGCTATCAGCGATTAGTGGGTAAACTCATTTACCTATCTCACTCTCGTCCTGATATTGCTGTTACTGTTAGTCTGGTTAGCCAGTTTATGCATGCTCCTCATCAGATTCACTTCGAGGCTGTCATGCGAATTTTAAGATACTTGAAGTCTGCTCCTAGTAAGGGTCTTTATTTTTCAAGGTATGATCATCTTCATGTAGAAACCTATACAGATGCTGACTGGACTAGATCAGTAACTGATAGGAGATTGACTTCAGGGTATTGCACCTTTGTTGAAGGCAACTTAGTTACTTGGAGGAGTAAGAAACAGAATGTGATTGCCAGGTCGAATGCAGAAGCTGAATTTAGAGCTATGGCACAAGGGTTATGTGAGCTCTTATGGATCAGGTTATTATTAAGTGATCTAGGTATTGATCAAACAGACTCCATGTGGTTATACTGTGATAATAAGGCTACTATCAACATCGCTCACAATCTGGTTCAACATAACAGGACAAAACATGTTGAGATTGATCGCCACTTCATTAAGGAAAAACTCACTAGTGGCACAATATGTACTCCCTTTGTGCAGTTTGGTGAACAACTTGCTGACATCCTCACCAAGGGAGTTGGGAGTAAGCCATTTCATGAAATCTTAGGCAAGCTGGGCATGAGAGATAGCTTCGCACCAGCTTGAGGGGGAGTGTTAGAATAACATATGATTATTTGGTTATTATTTTGAAATTATTTTATGCCTTAGGGCTTCCTTGTAATTATTAATCTTCATTAATATAAATAGGAAATGATATCCTAATCATTCCCTAATCTTGAATTCTCTAAAATAACAGTTTGCTAATTTTGATTTAGGATGAATGTAATATGAATCTACATAACACATAAAAATAAAAAAAATCGTCGTGTCCCCCACTGTGTCTGTGTCCCAAATTTTTGGAAATTGCCGTATCCCGTGTCCGTGTTCGTGTCCGTGTCCGTGCTTCATAGGTTATCAACCACCTATTAATTGGTCCCATCAGAGCACATGAATGGGTTCTAGGTGGCCTGACTCTTCTATAAATAGAAGGCTTTCTCCCTTCTATACCACCTCTACATTCACCCATCCCTTCTCTAGCAATCCATGCCACATCAAAAACCACATTCACTTTCCAGAAGACTCCGCAGCCTACTACTAGTCATCGCAACACCAACAAGAAGGAACTCATATTGAGAAACGCCACACCAAAACCATAGCCATGAATGGATTCCTGCATAATAAAAACGGCATAAAACTAAAAGAGTAAACCACCCAGATCCTCACCCAAAATGACTAACTTCGGATATCAACCGGGTTCATTGGTCCCGCATATATACCCATTAAGGATCCCTTGCACATTTCCGATGTCATACTCATTACATTACCCTACGCAATGATATGCTCTCCCTCTTTCCTTGCCAAGGCCCACTAGACACAAATACCACAATAGGTTGCAAAATCACATCATGCTACAGTATCTCCAAGCCCACACAACCATGTGTGCGTGTCATCCCAAATACTATAGGTAACCAACGACCCACATCGTTCCCCGAAGGGAGAGGCCCAATCAATATAAAATATCTTCCAAATTCCCAACAATGTATAGAACCGTGATAGGATAATTACATCAAAATCATCAAGATTCACATCAGTTCCTATACATTCAATCCAATCATACATGGAAGTCAGTAATTATTTAAAACAATACCATAATAATCAATATATTTAGGGGTTGTTTGGAATGATCTAAATAAGTGCACTTTTTGACTTTTTATGAAATATGAATTGGGTTTGGGTTGGGTTTGAAGTGATGTGTAAGAGAAGTGATGTGACTTAAATAAGGGCTTTGTTTGGGAAGTTGCTATTTTAGTAGGCTATTTTAGTTTTTGGCTATTTTAGTAGGCTAAAATTTTTGTGTTTGAGAAGATGATTGAATTTTTTTGTGGTTGGATGTGATGTTTGTGAGAAAAAAAGTGAAATGATTATGGGTTTGATGTGATATTTTGTCTTATTAGCTATTTTAGCCTATTTTGTCTTTTTGTGAATTTTAACCTAAACTAGGCTATTTTTTTTCTTGCCAAATACCCCCAAGATGATGTGACTTAAATAAGATAGTGACTTTTTGACTTTTTATCTTTTTCAAGACATGCCAAACTTGGCTTTAGACAGATCCTGACTTACGGTTCCTTTAATTGCCACATCCAGGTCTGCGTCATCAAAGATTATGCAAGGTGCATTGCCACCAAGTTCCAGAGATACCTAGAGAAATCAATATTGAACATAATTAGTGTATGATAAAAAATAAAGTCTTACCTTTCAATCCATAGTGCAGTAGTCAATTAGTTGCCTGTGCATACCTTTTTAACAGTCCCAGCAGCACCTGCCATCAATTTCTTTCCAACAGCTGTTGAACCAGTGAATGTGATCTTCCTTACCTAAACAAAGTTTAAAATAAAATAAGGAACCACAGTTCTGTGATTTGTTCATCCAAATAATCCCACAAAAAAAAAAATGCACCATGATGTCAAAAAAAAAAAGAGAAAACCTGTGGACTTGCAATCAAAGCATCCCCAATTTCAGAAGCATTCCCCATGACTACATTCACAGCACCCTAAATTTAAATTTAAAATAACAATAATTAATTAATAAAAAATATCAATCATTAGAGACAAAAGAAACAACAAAAATATTTAAGATGATTTAACAAAACAAAAGTGCAAACAACTGCAACATCAGTATTCTTCCAGACACATATAATAACATCAACAAGGAGGTGCACCACCGCCTCATAATCTTTCAACTCTTCCTGTATGTTGCCTTCCCTTATTATATATTATATACTATTTTGCTGACATCAATAGGTCATGACACAAAGCAAGTACCATAGCTGGCCCTATTTTGGGATACAATAAGAAATTCACCCCATGATTTGCTTCTACGCTCAATATGGATGCACCTGTAAGCTGTATCTTAGTGTTGCTTTTGGAATTATTAAGATTACTTGTGCTAGCAAATAATATGATGGACACCATCTGGCAAACCAGCATATATACTTTACTAACAATGTATCCCGCACAATGTGCAGGAATTTGAGGAAACAGAAAAACATTATAAGTGGATCCCATCCATCTTGATTTCCTCTATCTTCTACTAGCTTTTTATGGGTCCCATTCATTCTCAATAAAGCACATAGAAGTGGGAGGCCAGTTACTGTAGAATCTACAGTAACCAAAGCCCCCTTGCTTACATATTGGCTAATCCCTTGAATTTGCTGTCAAGTTTCTAGCTAAGGAAAAGGAACAACTAAACACAGATCACAACAAAGAATCCCAAGAGGAAGATAGTCAGTCTCATTACTCAGTTCATTTATAGTGGTAATGATAAAGGAATCTACTCCAGTAACAGCGTACACAATTAAAGGAGATGTCAGTCCTACATATGACAATATCAAAAATATATTTAATTTTACAGTTTTAAATGCATAAGAGATAGTGTTAAAGTTAAATAAAAATAAACTTTATATAAAATAAAATTTAAAAAAAAAAAGTTCAGTCCTAAACCAAATCCCTTTCTCTCATTTAATGGATACACAGTTCCAGCAATGAACTTAGATGAACAATGGAACTTTCATGATGCCTGCCAATACATGCATATACGAAAATACATATGTATCATGTTTATATAAAAGATTACCGGTGGTATTCCAGCTTGAAGGGAGAGCTCAGCTGCAGCAAGAGCAGTCAAGGGTGTAAGTTCAGAGGGTTTTATAACAACAGTACAGCCACAAGCAAGGGCAGGACCAACCTGTTAAAATGTTGAATGAGAAGGTCATTTTGGACACAATAGTCATGCATCAAACAGGTTGTTAACACACAAAAACCTACTCAAGTAATGCACCACTGGATAGTCATTAACTTAAGAAATCAGAATTAGCCCACCTTTCGAGTAATCATTGCCAGGGGAAAATTCCAGGGGGTAATTGTACCAACAACACCTACAGGCTGCAAAAAAGAAATATTTCTTTTAATAGAAAAAAAAAATCAGAATGAAATTGATTGGCCCATTCAAAGCTAAAATCATGAAGAATCAAGAGCTGCACCATTGAGCCAGAAGGTGACTTTGTTGAGCACGGAAACAGAACAAAAACAACAAAAACAGTCTTCCTTATAATTACTGAGAGGTTTGGCATAGACCAGTTGTTCCGCGTGAGATGCATCTATTATCCCACATCTGATACCAAATGATACGAACCCCTTGGGTAGAACTCACCCTTGAAAATCGGCTTGCAAGTGAAGGGTATCCAAGAGGCTTATATGCACATAGCCAAGCAAGGCCTATGTTAACCGATGTGGGATCATAGCACCTTCAAATATTTTTGTGATGTATAGTTGGTATAGGTCTTTGTTTTTATTTTGTATGCAAATCGCAGCCCATCAGTGCTTCTTTTATTAATATACCAAACCAAACCTTGTGTTCCGATCAATTGGAATCGGCTACATAAATTTTTTCCACCATTCCACTCTGTTAACAGCTATATCCTCAATAAAATTAAAGAACCAACTGAAAGAAACTATGCAACCAAAATTTCTTAAAATACTCTACAAAGTCCAAAAATTGATTCAAGGACCAGTCTATACCATCCAAGAACCAACTATACAAAATAGCCAAAAATTTGCTCGAAATCTTAAAAAGAGTGCCAGTCTCCTAACATTTCACAAATCAATTCAAATTCTACATTTCTTATCCGTACAACACATGTATTTTAGCATCTTCATCTCAACTATATTTTTTTATTAATATATTGTTTCTTAGCCTAACATTTTGACTCAAGTACCTCTTTCATTAATATAACCTTTAAAAAAAAAAAAACTAGTGATACCTCGAGCATGTGAATGAAATGTAAAACATAAGGGACTGGACAAAGTTCACCTGCTTTAAAACAAACAACCGACGATCAGATAGTGTGGCTGGGATTATATCACCGTACACACGTTTAGCCTCCTCTGCAAAGAATTCAATAAAACTGGCACTGTAGCTAACCTGTAAATTGTGTGAACATGTTACAAATACTTCATGAAGGATGCAGTCCAAACACTAATGCGTAGATTCCTAAAGAAAAATTGTGAATCCAATACCTCACCAATAGCTTCTTTTAGAGGTTTTCCTTGTTCTAATGTTATAAGTTGGCCAAGCTCTTCTTTATGTGCAACTATTAAGTCATACCTGGTAATACATGTGCAAAGAAACATCATAAAGATCTTTGCAGGTATAAATATTTGAAGTAACAAATAGAGACAGGATCAAATAAGCACCGGAAGAAAATTATATGAAATACGTGCACGTATTTCTCTTTTCTTTTTCAATGATGGTGAAATACATATTTCTAACCTAAAACAAGTGTAATAAGTACATATAACACAATGTTTGGACTAAAGTGCTTTCTTACTTTCACGAGCTCTGAAGTTATATAGAAACAATGAACAGTCTGTACTTTATGTGGAGCTTATTCTATGGTAAAGGAGAAAGTATCAAAACAGTCAAACATTAACTCATTTAGAAGCATCCATGCAGCATAGCCAACCAGTGTCAAGCACTAAACTTTACCATGAGTAAGGCTGCAAAAGTGCCTATCTCTAATGTTTTAAGGCTTCACTCAGTCACTCTAAGAATGTGTGGCTCATGTTCATGACTAGACCAACCAGACCTATTCAAAGTCGGCTCATGATTGTTTAACGAGTCCATGAGCCAAGCTCAGCTAAGCTTGACTAAGGCATATTAAAAGACTTTTGTAAACAGGTCACTTGTTCTACCGCGTAGTGTAATAAAAGACAAGAGGACAAAAGTTCATGGTGTGTAGATTAGATGATTTCAAAGAATTATGTCAAAGGAAGCCTACAAAATGTGCATCAACGTATATCTATATAATTCTTATGTTTTATCACATTCAAAAATCAAATTTGAAGGTGATTTTAATCATAAACCACCAAAAATCAGAAAAAAGAAAAAAAATTACAAGATAACCATTATAGGCCCATGTTCATAAGACTAGACAAGTGTGTTCAGGCTTGACTTCTTACTAAGCAACATTTATTTTATAGCTTGTAATCAGCTCATTTATTAAATGAACAATCCCAATAACAAGTTGAACCCTAGCTGCTCATGAACACCATGAGAATTGTCCCATCCTCAATATTTTGGTTATTCATGTAGGAAGGACAATCAACCTCAAGCTATAACATTTTTTTATCAAGCACATGTTTTTAGCAGATCATTTAAAATTTTATGCAAGTAGCATCATTATAAAATATCACAGGACCACAGTTATCTTGTACCATTTCCGTGTAGATGATTTCATGGTGTGTAGATGATTTCAAAGAATTATGTCAGAAGAAGCCTACACAATGTGCATCAACGTATATCTTTATATAATTCTTGTGTTTTATACATTCCAGAGTCAAATTTGAAGGTGATTTTAATCATAAACCACAAAAAATTGGGGAAAAAAAAAATTTACAAGATAACCATTATAGGCCCATGTTCACAAGCCCAGACAAGTGTGTTCGGGCTTGAATTCTTACTAAACAACATCTATTTTATAGCTTGTAATCAGCTCTTTTTTTCTTTTCTTTTTTTTGATAAATAAATTAGCAAACTTTATTAAGAAAGCATCAAGATAATGCAAAGAATACAGAAAACCCCAATTGGGAAAATAACCAACTCCTAACCAACAACATCATCCAAAAAATCTAAAAAAGAAAATATATCCAAATCAAACTTCCTCTCTAACCAACTATACCCAATAACAAGTTGAACCCTAGCTGCTCATGAACACCATGAGAATTGTCCCATCCTCAATATTTTGGTTATTCATGTAGGGAAGGACAGTCAACCTCAAGCTATAACATTTTTTTATGAAGCACATATTTTTAGCAGATCATTTAAAATTTTATGCAAGTAGCATCATTATAAAATATCATAGGACCTCAGTTATCTTGTACCATTTCCGTAGGCATTTGCTCCTTTCAGCAGCAGTAAGTTTGCTCCAAGCTACACAAACAAATGTCATCACTTATTAGTACTAATAATATGATCTTTTACATTTAAACATATAACAATTCACAAATTAAAATACAATTACCAATGCCAAATGTTTCATATTCAGGCATCAATGTGCTAAGAGTAACTAAGTATAAACTTGTCAAACTAATATTAGTGATAATAACCTTATGCAATGTTCGGTATGCTGCATCTCATAATATTAGTAAATTTAAACCCCTCTCGTCTACAACTTGTCTTCTACCATTCTAGACCCTAAACCTACAAGCTCTCTTTAGCCCTAACCCACCATAAAAACAATAGTAGGCTGCCCTATTCTAGGCTATAGTGCTATCCTACTCCTACATCATTGCTTCAAAAACAAGTGCATTTTGGTTCCCAAATTCCTAATATAATCTTTAACATTTCATGTCAAAAATATTCTACTCTAGAAAAAGAACCACAATAGGTATAACTGTGAATACCACAAGATGAGGGAGAGTGCTTCTTGCACAAGAGCAATATAAGCACAAGCTTATATGGGATCATTCATCAAAACAAGGCATAACAATATCTCCTCTTAAAAACATGAGGATACAATGGATATTGGGGTAAAAATGGATACATTTGAATGCAGCGTAAGCTGAAGCAATTGCATCATTTGTCTCCCTCACACCCATGCATGAGACATTCGCTATAACTTCACCATTAGCAGGATTATGGACCTGCCATAACAAGTGAGTACAGTTTGTCAGAATAGGCTAGTTGGTAGAAACAGTGAAAGAAATGAACAGCAAGTAAACAAAAAAGAATACACAAACAATGAAGCAAAAATCAGTATTACGTGACTTTCCAAACAAAATGCAATATGACTAGTCACTAGTGTAACAAGGAAGCAAGAATGAGACGAGCAGAAAGAATAGTACCCCTTTTTTTAATTAGCAATAACTCCAAGTACTCTTAACTACAAGGGCAGAAAATAACACATTGTGGGCACACTTACATGAACAATTTTACTGCAACCTTGAATTTTCACTCAGTAAGTAATTTACCTCACATAAGATAAAACAAACAAAATTTAACTGATGGAACAAGTAAATTCCACTCCCCCAACCACCACATGCAGGGAAAAGAGTCCCTTGCAGATGCATCCTAAGAAAAATTTAAACTAAAGTAGACAAATTCAATAATTTTGGGAAAAGAAGCTTCAATGTATCCAGTATTCCTTTGATGATTGATATCAACTAAGTTTCCCATTCATGTATAATCCACATGGAAGAAAAGTTCCTCCAACAAATTTTTCTAACCATTTAAATATCAAATTTAAGATACATGTAAAACACTAAATTTCCAATGCAGCCTACAATTACATATTCCACAAAAATAATAAAAGTCCACAAACTATCAGCATCAAATGGGAGAGAAAGATTGAAATATATTCTTTCTTTCAGACCTTTAAAGTTTTCCCATCATATGCATCAATCCATTTCCCCCCGATAAGGCCTTGAGTTCGTAAAAATCCGGAACTATTAAGTTGATCTGCAACACTTTGTGCCTCCATGCTAATCTAAACACCGAAACTCATTCGTCAAATACATTTGCACATTTTGTAAGTTGCTAAATAACACTGTATACAAATTCACCTTGGGATAAAAACATAGTAGAAGAATAAGCAAGTATGGAGACATGTTTAATAGGACATAAGCAAGCACAATGCACATGTCACAAGATCTAGTTGTCTACAATGTGGTTAAGTGACCATGTAGCATAAGTCGGGGCAAGTGCTACATTTAATCACACCTCACATGTTCAAATGCCTGCTATATTATTGATTTCCTACAAAGTTGCAATATAGGAATCTCCTTAATTTTAATGTTTCTCCCTATCTCTTGTTTCTGACTCAGTTTTCATTTTCCGTTTTCCCAGTCAGCTAGCCCATCCTCTGCATTCATAAAGAAAATCGTAGTTGATATCATGATGTTTCCGTAAAATTTTGTCTACTGCAGTCTGCAGATGGTGATGCAAGCGACAATGATGTTTCAAATGACAAAAACCAATTTGTTTTCTGCACTAGACAACATGTCACATCGTTGCTTGCACAGATGTTTCTCCAACAAAAAACAATTTGTTGTCTACTGCAGAAAAATAAATAAATAAACAGTAAAATTTTGAAAACCTAAATTACTAGCATCAGGATGTTTCAAATGACAAAAACCAATTTTTTTCGACCTTTTCAGCAAGAAACAACTATTCGGAAATCCCCTTTATGAAAGGGAAAATTTGATAATTAAGTATTTTTATAAAACAAGGACAAATTTCAATAAATAAATAAACAAGAGACAAGATGTTATAAGTTTGCGATCTACTTAACATTGTCTAAGTTTCCTGGACAACCAAACAGAGTTTAAAGCTAGAAAATTTCGTGCTGATGTGACCATGGAAAAACAAGTAATTCTTGAATTGTTGTCTGACCGCAAACTCACACCTAGAATCAGATTCAACTATTACAGCAAATAAACAATAAAATCAAATAAAGAACAAGTGATCGATTGAATCGAGTAAGGTAAAAGCATTCACAGTTAATGTATACTAGAATGAAACGTAGGAAAGTTTATATATATATATATGAATAAAAATAAAAAGAGGTAGATAAACTCTGAATACTTGCTAGTATCTGTTGGTGTGCGCTCCTGAAAATACCAAAACACAACACAGCACACCAATAGATTAAAGAGAGAGTACCTGCCGAGAGAGGAAAGTAACTGGGCGGTGCTGAGAGGGGAGGGAGACAAGGCGTAAAATGCGACTGCCACCGCCGAGGAACATGCGTGCCGGTGCCATCCTCCTCTCTTTTCTTTTCTGATCAAAGGAAAAGAAAACCTCAGCAGACTCTCTCAAGTACTGAAGTATCACAACCTAATCTGGAGTCGCACACAGCCAACGCTTACCCCTTTTTTTTTTTTTAAAAAAAAAACAAAAAAAAAAAAAGGAGAAGAAAAACGAAAACAAAGAAAGAAGAAGAAGTAGAAGTTTTGTTTGACATGTTGGATTAAGTTTTTTGAAAAAAATTTTTTTTTTTTTTTGTGTTTTTTTTTTTTTTTTTTTATTCCAAGTGAATATTTTTAAAATTTTAAATATTTTTTTTATATTTTTAAATACACTTTACTTAGATATATTTAAAAAGTAAAAAAATTGTGAAAAAATATTTTAAAAATTTAATAAATACATAAAAATGCAAAAAAATATATTGAATTCTCGTATTTTTTGTATTTAGTGAATTTTTAAAAGATTTTTTTCACAAATTTTTTGCTTTTTAAGTATATTTATATTAGGCATGTCTAAAAAGTGAAAACAAAATTGCTTAAAATATTTTAAAAAATCAATAAAAACAAAAAAATACAAAAAATTAAAAAGTAAAATTTTCTGAAAGATGTTTTTGGAAAAACATAACCAAGCAAGCTGGTAACACAGAGAAACTAGCCTTACAATTATTTTAGAGGATTCGCATTAATTTATTTAAATTTTTAATCAAATTATAAGTAAAAAAATTATTTCACTATTCAGATAGCTAATTGGGAGCTCTGAAAAACCTAGCATTGATAGCTCTAATGAGCTGGAAATGTAAAAAATAAAAAATAGAAAACAACCGAGACACACGTCATATTATAAGGGAGCCAGCTCATTAGTGTTCCTCTTAGTGCTCTCTTTTTAGTGCTTCCAGACATTTTTGTTTCACTATTTTAGCTAATCACCTCTTTAGTACTTACTATATCAAACTCTCTATTCTAACTTAACTTTATTAAAATGTTATTTTCTTATTATGTTTATTATTATTTTTTTATTATTATTAAATTTATGAGTTACGAACCAAATAAATCTTAAAAAATACCAAAAAAAAATGGCCGTTGACCCGTCGAACTTCCGGATGGACATCCGGTAACACTAATGTAGCGATGAACAGTGCCTCGTTTATTATAACGAGCTACTGTAACGCTCGTAAATTAGCGACCTATTATAGCGAAATTGACGGAGGCCCATTTTTTATGAATAGTATCATCAAACTAGCTAAAAAGCGACTTTAGCTAGTTTGATGTGGATGTCCTAAGGCATCCTTTGGAACGTGGGTTGATCTTTTTTTTTATTTTGCTTTTTTTTCTTGTTTGGGTCCAAAAAATATTGTTTGGAATACATTTTTTGATTTTTATAAAAAATAAAATAAAATAATTATTATTTAGATAAGATATTTTTTTGCCTGAAATTAAAAGGTATATTTTACCTTTTTGTAACTATTTTGTCCGCAACCTATCCCAAATCAAACTTTCCGGGTTTAATGTACTTACAAATTATCCCAATCAAACTTTCCGAGTTTAATGTACTTACAAATTCTTATTTATATAAATTGATATATTTATCAATATTTGTATGATATAATGAATTTAAAGATTTCTTATTTGTTATTTGGATGTGAGTTAGCTTTTTAATTTTTTGATTTTTTTTGCTATTTTTAGTTTGGGTTTAGGATAGATTTTTTGGCTTTCTTAACTTTTGTGAAAGAAAAAATAAAATGATTATGAATTAGATGTGATATTTTGTCTTATTAAGCAAAAAAAATTATTTTGTCTTTTTGTGGCTAAAATAGTCAAAAAGTCAAAAAACCTAGCATGCCAAGCAATGGCTTAATCACATTCAGGGATGATTATTTTTTTTCTATCCCGCTTCATACCCACATCTCCCTTTCCATACGGATTTTTCCTGCTCTGATTAAGAAGTAAGACAAGGACAAATTTTACTTTCCTTATCCCATTCCGCCCAAACCCTACCCTGATTATATTCATTAAATATATTTATATATATAATTTATTTATTTTTCATTATAATAAAATTAAAATATTATACTTAATTAATACTAGTATTTTTTTATTTATTTTATCTCAATGTAAATTATTACTAGTAATATACTATATTATTTGTAATTTTTATTTTTTAACTTACAAAGTTAACCCGCACCCACCACATTTCTATCACTCCTCGATTTGTCCCAACTCTAATATGATATAAGACCGGGCAAATCTATACAAACCCAAATCCAACTCGACCTGTGACCATTACATTATTGATTTGGACAAATCACATTCCATATTTTTTTCCAACAAACATTCCATATCAATTCACCAATAATTAACATTCACATTATGAAAATTAACCCTTATGCCACATTTTACATTCCACATTCCACATCTAAAGCTTGTTTAGTACTGTACGATAAAAAATTAAAAAGTACATTTATTTATATTATTCTCAATTTGAAAATTTCCTCATTAATTTTAGTTGTTTATGTCATATTTCAAAAAATTACACTAAAGGGTTTTTTCTAATCACATTAGTGGTTTGAGCAAGAGACATTTCATGTTTTAAATTCAATTCACCCAAAATGTAACATACCTATTATGAAAATGAACCTTTATTCCACATTTCAAAAATCACACACCAAGAAAAAAAGTCAAACAATTAGTAAGGGCAAAAAAGTCTTAACGGAACATAATAATATATTAAATCGGATCTCATATAAAATGTTTCAAAATGGATAAGACCTACCGGTTTATAAATAAAAAAAATTAAAATTAAAATACTTCATGCGTATAAATTTCTAAAGTGGAAATTTTAAATAATTTTTTAAAAAATATAATAAATGAAAATTGAAACTTGTTTTAAACTAAACCGTTATTTTATTTTTTTAGAATTAAATCCTACACCTCTAAACCCACCAAAATTCAAGAGTTGCACACAGTTAGAGCATCTCCAATGCAATACTCTCATTAAGAGGATAAAAATAATGTTTTTTATTAAAAAAGTAAATATAGAGGAGGTCACTATTCATTCAAACTCCAACCACAAACCTTCATTTCCTTCATTCAAACTCTATTCAAAAAGTAATTTTTATTCATTAATAAATATTTAATTTTAAATTTTTTGTAAAATATATTTAATATTATACTCATTTTAAAGGTATGATTTTATACTTTTTAATGATGTCAATTTTATAAAAATTAAATTTACAAATTAAAAATTATTTGTAATATAATAAGAAATACAAAATGAATAGTATTTTAGAGGGATCCTTCATTTTTTCATCCTCCCTTCAAATATGAAGGATGAACTCATTCTCCTCTCAAATGGAGATGAATTTGAAGGGTGGGTTGGAGGAGACCATCCTTCATGAGATGCTCAATTTAGTGCTCTGATAGTAATTTGTATTCGTATCAATGATATTAACCGTAAATTTCATATGACAAATTGAGAATAATACACATGTAAAGTATTAAATTAATTACATAACTAATCACATAATTAAATCACATATATATTATAATATATAGACTGTTTATTCTTAAAAAAGGTCTAATAATATGATAATCGATCAAGTTGATTTTTTATATGGATATTTTTCTTAATTAATTGCACAACATGAATACTTTAGATGACAAAATTAAATCCAAATTAATCCGATAATTGATAACTTCACTATATAATTGAGATCTTCAATTTTGACAAATTCGAATTAATTCAAACCATTTAGATTTATGAATGTAATTAGGATACATTATACAAAAATGTCTAAGACTCCCTTTTTTTCCCACCCCCTTTGACCCCCTCTCTCTCTTATTGGTTGGATTTTTTTTTTCTTTTTTTTGTTTCCCTTGTCCTCCAATCACCACTTGCCGCATGTGTGTGGGGGTGGTGATTGAAGGGGGTCTCCATCACTCCTCTACATTATATCTACCTCATAAATTTTGAGAAAAATATACCAATTTTTATAATTTTGTAATAATTACACCGATCTCTTATTCAATAAAGCTTAGAGCATCTCCAACGATTCATCAATTTTTTTCACCAAATCTAGGGTTGAGTAAGGAATCCGTGAAATCCGTAATCCGATCCAATCCAGTTCAATCCAGTAGGTTTGGATTGGTTTTTTTTAATCCGTGGTTTGGTTCTAAATTAAAAAATTAAAAATCCATAGTTCACAGATTTGTTTCGAATTGAACCCCACGGTTCCGGATTGGAACCGATCCAGACAGTATACAAATAGTCTATATTTTTATTATCCACCCTCCTGCATATTATCTTCTCTTATTCCATATAAAACTTAAATCCAAATCTAAACTCGCATAGTATCTTCTTTTATTATTTTTGTTTGCCAATTTTTAGTGTTAATTTGTAATGGTCTAAATACTTATGGTGGAACCAGTTTTCCTATGGTTATTTAAATTTTAGAATAGTATGTCGCTATTATGAAAAGACATGTTGCTATTGGGAAATTAATATGGTACTATATTTATATTTTTATGAAATTAAAGTGTTATATATTTTTTTTTGTTATTTAATTATGTAAATCCGTGGTCTTAAATCAATCCAATCCGTGTTTAAATGGATTGGTTCAGATTGGTTCCATGATTTAAACGAATTGGATTGGTTCCAATTTTTCAGAAACCGTAGATAACGGATTGGTCCTGATTTTACCCCAATCTGATCCAATCTGGACCATGCTCACCCCTAACCAAATCTGAGTAAAAAAAATGCAAGTTCCTCAATCTGATATGAGCCACTCCAACGGTTGCACTTTAGCTTGCATCAAAAGACTAGGGACGTCCAGTGAAATGACCGGCCGGTCGACCGGGCAAGGCACTGAATTTTTTTTTCCCCTCTATTTTTGTTTCCCAATTCTTTTTCCTTCTATTAAATATTTTCCATTTTTTGTTACCTTCAATAATGATTTCCTTCCAATAGCTAATATAAACACATTAATCCTTGTACCATATACTAGAAAAGAGGTACGTTATACCTGGAAAGCACCCTAACTGAAAGCAAAGCATAATGAGTACCTCAAATTCTTACTTGGTCACTTCATTTTCATCACCTTTTTCTTCCTCATCTTTTGATAGTGAT